GAACTTGCATATGCAATAGTCTCTTGCAGTCTGGGAGATACTTTGTGCTGGTTTGCTCCCTGCACTCAGTGACTGCTCTCCTTTTCTAAGTCTTTGCTGTTGATGTTGTTGTTTTTACTGTATCATCTTCTGCTCTATAAAGGGTCTTAGACCTGCATTGTGAGAGTCTTGGAAATGAAGATTTTACTGTTTTTTTCCAATTCACCTTCCAGTGTGCACTATGGAAACAAACAATACTCTTGCTGGCCTCCAGGTTTGCATGGTGAGTCTTCAGAGCCCTCTCCGCTACAGACCACTCAAATACACACTTCAATTAGCATTAAGAGGTCCAGAATAAAGAAAAATCCAGGGTTCCCTGGGAAATCTCCTCATACTTCTAACACTAGACCTAGCAAGAAAACATCAGTGGACAGTGGATCCATTTATGCAATCACACACTTTTCACCATGAAAAGTAATGAAAATGAATTAAGACTTGCCAATTCAAACATGAAAGCATTAGGAAATGCCAGAATAAAAACTGCTTGAGCAATCCTAATTCCACCTCCACCCCCATATACAAAACTCTGCACTTAATGAGCCTGCATGGTCTTTAATTACACTTTCAGGTACCATTTAAATGAGTGCTCCTTAGAATGTAAGGAATGCAAAAAACTAGTACATTTGCCTATTTCCTTCCCCTTCTGTGGTTTTTTTTTTTTTAATGTTACGAAGTTTTAATGGAAGTTGACAGAAGCTCAGCATTCTCAACAACAGCCTTAAAGTTTCATGAAAACCCGTAGCTAAAGAGGGAGAAGAACCTATTAGCACCACAGCACAGAAAACCTGAAGTGGCAGCAGCAAGCAGATGGTCCATGCAGCAGGAGGATATAAGTAATGCCCCAACCATGATGGAAGGCTGAAACTTACTCAGTGCCTATCAATCCCAAGTATCTGGCTTCTTGATTCTGCAGCTCAGGACATCTTGTTCCCTGCCTCTTTCAGTGCCCAGCGGGTGAAGGACCTGCTTTTCGCTCTGCCACTGTTTCCAGCAGTGATGAGATCGCTGAAACTTCAACCAAGCGCAAAACAGGCCATCTCAGTTTTCAGGACAAAGGGAAACATATAAAAAAACCAGCTTGGATAAGCAGGGAATCATGGCAGAACTCCAGCGCAAAAGAAGAATATACGGGAGATGGAAACAGGAATGGGCTACACAGGAGGAATTTAAAAACACTGCCCGGGTATGTAGGGATGGTGTCAGGAAAACCAAAGCTCTTCTGAAGCTTTAACTTGCATGTCAACAGTAACAAGAAGAGCTTCAACTGCTGAATAGTGGTAAAAGGCTAAGCAAGGAAAATGGCAGTCACTGAGTAGGGTGGGTGATTTATTGAAAGTGGGCACAGTCAAGCCTGAGGAACTCAATGCATCCTTTACACAGCAAGGGATGCCAAGCCTGAGGCTCTGGGATTCATGGAGAGGAAAGATGACCATTAGTGGGTGAGTTAGGAATTGCTGGAGAAATCTTGACTCATACTAGTCTATGGAAACAGAAGGGCTGTGTCCAAGGATGATAAGAGAGCTGGCTAATGCCAACACAAGATCACTTTCAGTCATCTTTGAAGAGCCACCAATACCCCTGCCAATGGTAGAAATGCTGTGCATATATTTTAAAAGAACTTAAAGGACAGCCCAGGCAACTGCAGGCTGTCCAGTCTCACTTCAGTCTCTGGGAAGAAAACATGAAACAAATTCTCTTGGATGATATTTCTGAACACAAGAAGAAGAAGTAGGCAACTGGGAATATTCAGCATGCGTTTACAAAGGATAAATCGTGCCCATGAACCTGCCTAATTGCCCTTTTTTGATAAAAACAGGATAACTAATTTGCACAGAAAGTGGGAAATTTGTCTCCAGGTTGGAGAAATTTATGTATAAAAGGTACATCCACAAAGCCTGGATGTGCAGACACTGCCAGAACCCTGGACATCCCATCAGCTGGATTGACATTGGAGCCAAGAAAGATCTCTCTTTCTCACTTTTTTCATTTCTTTCTCGCTCCTCCTCTTCAATTAATCCCTCTGTTCCCTTTTACCCTACCCTGTTATCCCAAACCCATGGCCATATACTTATATAGTAGGTCCAGCACCAAGGTGGACCAATTTCTAAGCCAAGTGTGTAATTTACAAATAGAACTTCATAACCTTTTTTGGACCTCTCACTTTTGTAATTTCTTTCAGCCATGAGCCTCTATGAATTGAGGGTGCTTCCTTCCCCTTAAGGGTGGCATGCCACAATTGCTGACTCCACACTGAGCAGGAGGTTGGACCAGAGGCTTCTTACAACCTGGATGATCCTGTTGTTGCTGTTTCAGGGGCTCAATACTGTAAAAGTGCTATGGATGCAGAAACCTCTCCCAACACAAAATTGTTTCACACCCATTTTTTTCCAACTACTCTATTGCTGATAACTTTCTTTCCCACATCTACAAGTTTTTACCTCCCTGAGAGAAAACAAACTTCTTTTTTTTTTTTTTGGAGTGGGGTGTTGGGTTTTTTTTATCTATCTTTTTTTAACAGGGACTTTTCAGTGTACAAGTTGTGTGGCTGGGTCTGCTCAGTGTATTTTACATATGCTTCCACATCAGAGACCACCAACATCTCAGTACAAGTACCTACAAAGCAAGAAACTGCTTAGCTGAGAAGCCCCTGTGACATCTGGCCTCCCAAATTCCTGTAAACAAGACCCAGGATGAAAATAGGGCATAGAATGTGCTGAGATATGAGAAAGAGCTGGTGTAGCTGGGGAGAAAGGGACTGACAGAGATACACCAGGAAGAAGAGGAGCATCAGGAAAGAATAAGAAGGTGCAGGGCAGATGGGGCCATTCTCCTTCAACACAAATCCTACTGCTGTCCTTGGTGTGCTGCCAGTAACAAGTGGTGCCCCTGTTTCTGGGAGATATGGTAAAAAGCAGAGGAATGAAATTTCACACAGCTGCTCCAAGTGCTCCTACCTTCCTACAGCCCCAGACTAGTCGCTGCAGGGTGCATACAAACCAAAGATTTAATTTAGTCCCACCTGTAGGGGTAAAGTGTTCTGCTGATTGCTCTTCTAAAACAGCAAAGCAGTTCTCTCCTGCTGCAGTTGTCTTTTTCCCTTTCTGTGGCCCTGTTTGACACTTGATTTCTGATGTCTGCACCCAAAGTGAGAGTTCTCACAGAGAGCAACTCCTTCACTGTCCAGATACAACTTACTCTGGGATCCTGTTTCAAGTAGAAAACAGCACACCATGTTACCCTGACATAAGAAATAATGCAGAAAGAGCCTAAATAGAGCAGCTTTGATTCTGATCTGTCCTACAAATATGTGCATTTCGAGCTTTTAATGTACTTTACTAACAAAATGAGGCAGTAAAGGTCTTTCACGTGGGATCCTGGTTTCTGACAGCATTATTCAGACATTTTAATGATAACAGAGATTTTAACCTGAAAAAGGAGTGCGCACAGTGGAGATCATGTGGACAGAGCCTCAGTGAAGTTCATTTTCATACAGGCCTTGCCTGCCATCAGGAGTGACCAGAGAGAGAAGGGAATGATGGTTCTCCTGGCAAGCACTGGGTGCTGTGTCTTTCTGCTGTCCCATACATCTTGGCCTCTTTCTAGTATGTTCCTAGTAAGCATGTTTCTAGTAAGTCAGCAAGTCAGTAAATTCTTGCTCACTAGCACAAACATCACATGCTTCTCTCTACCCTGAAACAACAGGTGAGACATGGGGTAGAAACAGTTTCTTCTCACTCCTTCCCCTCTCTCCACTCCCTACTCCTCCCTCAACACTCTCAGAAATTTTTGGCTAAAATTGTCCATAAGAGAGAGAATACTTGCATGCAGGATAACCTTCCCTTATCCACTCTTCCAAATATGCTCAAAGCATTCAGAATAAAGTCCTTCTCACAGCAAGTGACCCCAGCCTCTGACTGAGAAGGTACTGTGCTCTTAGGAGGTTGTGATGAGGAATGGCACAAGGATTCCAAAGGGCTGAATAAGAGATAACATGGTGGATGTTAGTATTTTGGACCCATTTCTGGAATCCATCTGCCTGTTGGCTCGGTACTTCTGAGGCTGAGCAGTGGTGGTGTGGGAGGGTGATTAGACCTCAGAGCTGGGAGAAAGACATCCAGGCACTACCAGTCTTGGACCAACTTGAAGGTCTTGTTTGGAAGGGGTGGGGGGGAAGGGTGTTTCCTTTGCACTTTCGGCTTTTTATCTTGTTGAGTTTTTGAGAAGGTGGGTGTCTCTGCACTGGGGAAAGAAGATACTGCTGCCTGCAGCAAAATCAGTCATACAAATCCGTAGCCAAACTATATGTCCCGTGGCTGATGGACCCCTGTGGGTCTTAACACACTCCCTTTATTCTCCTCTAGTCCTTTTCCTACTCCAGTGAGCGATCAACACTCGGACAGTGCTGCTCCCACGAGGCTGCTCCCTCCTCCTGCCACCACCTGCATTCCAGGCGCTGCAGCCGCCGCTCCGGCGCTGCCCGGAGGCGAGACTGGCGGTGACTCCTTATGCGGAGCCGTCAACGGGCATCAGGATGTTGGCGATGCTGTTGTTGTTTTGAGACTCACGGGGCAGGGAGAAGCGTCTCCTGGCCAAGGCGCCCCACTTCCCGCGCCCCTCAGCCGCCCCGTTTCGGAGCGCCGGGCTCCCCCCGGCTGACAGGTGCGGTGGGGCACGGGCGGCTCCGCGGGCAGGGCGGCTGGACCCCGGGGAAGGGCTGGAGCCCAGCTCGAAGCAGCCCCGGGCCGGGCTGTGCCATGCTGTGCTGTGCTGTGCTGTGCCGGGCCGAGCTATGCTGGGCTGTGCCATGCTGTACCGTGCCGATCCGGGCTGTGCCATGCTGTGCCGTGCCGTGCCGGGCGGTGGCGCGGCCGGGGCCGCCCCAGGGAGGCCGGCGAGGGCGGCGGGGCGGGGCCGGACGGGGCAGTGCTGAGCCGCGCCGAGCCGAGCCGAGCCGAGCCTAGCTGAGCCGCGATGGAGGGAGGCGAGGCTGCGAGCCTGCTGGGGGAGCGCAGCCCGGGGCGGCTGGCCGAGTTCAAGACGTACCGGCGGCGGTGGTTCCTGCTGTCCGCCGTGTGCCTGCTCAACTGCTCCAACGCCATGGTGAGTGCGGCGGTGACGGCATCGCCGGGGCCGGGACCCGCTTCCCCCGCTCCGGGAGCCGCTCCCGCGGCGCCGCTGGAGCCCCCGGGGCCGGCTGGGGCGGGAGGGCGGCGGGACGTTCCTCCGGAGGGCCGTGGGGCAGGGGCGGCCGCCGGCAGCCCTGGCGTGCCCGGGCACAGGCGGAGGCGCAGCACAGGCAGCGGGCACAGCCCTCCCTCCCTCCCGCCCTGCCGTGCAGGGACTCTGCAGAGCAGCTCCGGCTGCTGCTGGTGCTGCGGAGGGAGCTGGCATGGCTTTCCAGAGCCAAAAACACCTCTTGTTTCTTCCTAGAAGCAGCCAGGTAATCCTCAGGGCTCTGCCCCAGTGCCCTGTCTCGGATCCACCCCCTCATCCTTAGAGCACCGGGACTCGGTTGTACGCGCACGGCTCAGAGCAGCCTCAGCCTGGCCGTGTCGCAGGGACAGAACAAGTGGCTTTTGCTTTTGAACTTTGTTTTCCCGGCTTCCCTTTATGACAGTGGGGGATCCGGGGCACGGGGGGGGTGGTGACAGGGGAAGGGCAGGATGGGGCGGGAGGATGTATGTGATCCAAGAGCACAGCAGGAAGTACCGCAGCGTCAAGTCAGACTGGGATGAAGCAAAATGTGTCCTGGAGCACAGCAAAAGTTGTTGCCGAGTCCACTTAGTAGGCCGTGGGGAGAGAGAGAAAGTGTACAGCGTCTGTCAGGGTCACATGTTTCAAGCCTAAGAATAGCTGAACAGTGTTGAAACGCCGTGGGAGAGGAGCACGAGTTAGCTCGGCCTCATTGCTGGCCTGAGACAGCAGATTTATCTGGTCACAAAAAGGCGCAACTAGGTTTCCTTTCAGGGTCTGTTGCACAAACACAACACTATGGGAGTGATTCTGCACTGAACAGATGGTTATGTGAACTTACTGCCTACTCCTAGTGCCTTACTCTGAAAGACTGGGAAAAAATGGGATGCCCGATCACACCCCACCTGTTGAACAGATTCAAATTCAGTTCAGTAATTGCTCAGATAAACTCATAACGTTGGCAAGGCTTACTATACAAGACAGAAGCCCAGTTCTTTGCTCGTCAAGTCACTGAGGACATTGTTGGTAATTATCAGATTGATATTCATGTGCTTGAGGATTACCACGCTGTGAATACAGACTGTCTGACAGACAAGATCAGGCACTGTAACCTGCAAACATTTAAATGCTGGAAGGAAGATTAGGTATTCCATGATGCAAGAGTGCTAGAGTAGAGAAATGGAAAATCATAGTGAGAATTTGGCTCTATATGGGGGGGAGGGGGGGGGGGAATGCACCTTCTCAGTAGAAAATCAGTGGATCCTTTAAGAGTATAAAAAAATTGTCCTGCAGAAAAGCTCAGCTTCTTGCTTGCAGTTACATTGGCATAACAGAAGAACATTATGTGGCAAAAGAAACCCCCACCCTGCTAAAAGTGGACAGTGACAGCATGGGCGAAGGAAGCTGTACAAAGCCTTTTCAGGATGTCTTGTCAGGTTCTGACTTTGCTGAAACCTTAACAGTGAAACAAACTGGTTACTTCAAAAGGTCCTTTCAGTGCATGTGCAAGTGTAACTGTGTCTTGAGTTATGTTGCTGAAAACTTTGTAGCCCTGAAAGATTGACCTATTGTCTGTTTCCTTGTTCCCTTGAACAACTTCCTTACTGTCTGCAGTATTATTTTTCCACAGTAGGAAATTAGACCGGAACTTTATCACTTCAAAACTGGGTGCCTAATCCGGGAGTGGAAATACTGTTTCTGAGCCATTGCAAAGGTCTGGAATGGCAAGTATGCTGGTGTATAAAGTTGTAACCAAACATATACTGGTGCTAAAGTTTCTCTGAAATGTTCTTGATAAAAATCACATTAAAATGGAGGGAGTGGTTGAAAGTCCGTGAAATCACAGTGGTTTGTTGTTGTTTAAAAGTTCCAGATGAAAAGATTAATTTACCAGTTCTGTGGTGTGAAAAATTGCCATGCAAGTTAAGATGTGTCCTCGATTCCTGTGCAAATGTTTCAGGCAGCACTTTGTTCTCTGTAGTCCCATGTCAGGCTTTCTACAAAGGCATATGATAAGGACATACAACTCTTGAATTGTCTGATTTGGACCTCATTTTCTGGAGTAAGCTTTCAGGATGATGCCTCCTGTGATACTCTTGCACATATACATGCAGTTTTCTATTAGTGGCCTTCGGTGTCACTAAAAGTGGCAGTCAGGAGACAGTCCTGAGAGAGGGTCCCTGTCAGTGTCAGGAAAACAAGGTAGAAGCAATTTAACTGCAGGAAAGGACGCTTGGTCATACAGGAAAAGCATGGAGTATTTCTTAGTTCAGAGAAAGGAGGATTTCTTAGTTCAGTCTGCTTTGGGGTATGATTGAGCAAAACCAGGAAAGACCATGTGGTGATGAAAGGGACGCTCTTTCCTGTATCCTCCTGCTCTACATCACTGTGTGGGATTCCTTCATTAACCAGAGCACAGTGGGGTTAATATTATAATAGAGGCTTTTACACCAGTGATAAATAGCCCCTTACTTGTACCTCTGTTACTGACCTGAGGTTGAAAACTTTGTCTCTCCTTGCTGTACAAGGCAGGTACTACCTTAGCAGGAGTTGGTTCTCATCTCCTAAATATGGCTATTCTGGGAATTCCTTGCTGACAATGCAGTGTAAGAAAGAAACTTGTGCCTGATCTTAAGAAGGCCATAAACACCACAGACATCAGCATAATTCATTGCTGCCTGAAGTCCTGGGCAGAGAGGATGTTCTGGCCACAGCTAAGCTTAGATGATTTATCCCCAGCTGTCTCTTGCAGCACTGATGGTGAGGGGTGACATAACTCTGCCTGTGGTTTCTCCCTGGATTTGTTTTGCCAAACTGATGCTGTGGTTTCAAGTGTGGGGTTTTTCATCCAAAGACATAATGTTTAAGAGTATTCTTGGTGTACTCACAGCTGCCATAGTGGTAAACTGCTGAAACAAATTCCTACTTCCTTCTTGCCTCCTTACTGTGAAGCCAAATAGGTTGGAAACTTACGTTTCACGGGAGAAACTTTTTCTTGTTTTCTCACACTGGGGACAAAGAAAAAGACAGAAGAATGAAACAGGGAGTGTTCATTGTCCTTTTCTGTGCTTGTCAGCTGGAGCAAGCTGGGGAGGAGCAGGGGGTTGGAGCTGGCTCATGCTTGGCCAAGTGGTTCCTGACTCACCAGCTGGAGGACTTACACCACCTCTTAGTGTACTTGTGAGAGGAAGGAGAGCTGCATAAGTGGAGACTGGCATGCTCCAGGGCAGGGTGCACACGCTCCTCAGCCACACCAGTCTGCTCCAGCAGTGCCCCTGTAGATACGCATGCACACATGGCAGTGCCGCCTGGCAGCCTCTGTCCTGGCTTCCTAGGCTCCTGTCTCAGCTCGGGGGCCTTTGTCTGAGGCCAGGGGCTGTTTTCTTCCAGACTGTGTGGCCCTTTTAACCTTGAAGATGAGGACTGTGGTGTAAGGGCTCCATAGCCTGGTCTCAGAGGGTAAGGAGGCAGCCTCCATGCCACAGAAAGACATCCTGCGTCACCCCGTAATCAGTGTCCAGGTGCATGAGAGAAAGCATGCTGGGACTGGGAGAACTGCTGTGGGCAAAGCTGGGGACTGTGGGCTCCCTTGGAATTCACAGAGGGCAACTGGGTCCTGTGGGTGAAATAGTTCTTGGAGAGTCTGTGTGGGTGTGGAAGCATTAAGGGCAATATGGTGGAAGAACTGAACCAGGAGAAGATGGAGGTGGAAGGGGAATGAGAGCAGGAGGAAAATGAGATGGTTTGGGCTGATTCTGGGAGGAAGAGGGCTGGATTTTAGAATCATTTGAGGGTTTGAGAATCATTTAAGGGTTTAGGAGGGTAGCAGAAAAACAGAAATGGAATCAGGGTGAGAACCTCTGTAACTTGTTCTTGGTTACAGGAATGTCCATGAAGGCTTGCATGAATCATAGAATGGTTTGGGCTGGAAGGGACCTTTCACTCAACACGAGTGAACATTACCAATGACATTGGACTATACTACAGGAGAAGCTTCTTTTGAGAACAACTAATGCAAAATCTATGAGGTAATGCTGGGAAGTGAGTTTTGCCAAATATTAGGGGATTGGGCTCACAAACTCACTGCAGCTGTCTGGTCTTCAAAGGAAAGAGACCCTGTGCTTTAGTAGGTCTGTGTGGGCTTCTGTATAAATCTCTTGACCTAACATGCCATGGCCCAGAATGTGACCTGCTGCTGACCTCCATCATCATCCACTCCAGCTTTTGCCAAGTTGGGAATTTTGTTGAAGTGTGGTGAAAGGTTCTGGTTAATTGTAGCCCTGGCAGGGCTCTGAAGGCACATGAGCTGTTGTAGGTGAATCAAAATTGCTTGTCGCCATCGCAATCAGGAACTGACATTGTGACATGTAATGAGCTGCCTCCAGAGAAGCATGTGAGGACACGGATGAAGCAGCACAGTGCATAACACAGGCTCCTCTTGATCCCTTCTGCACCTCACACTGAGGCCCTGGTTCTGTGTGGCCTCTCAGGCAGTGGAGCTGAGTGTAGGGGTGAATTTCCACAAAGTGGGTCTTGTGCAGGGACTGAACAAGTGCAAGGACTGAACAGCCCTACAGGGACAGAGGTGTCTTTCTCTGTTTCTTTTTCCTTTATGTGTTCCAGAAGCAACCAGATTTTGGGAGCTGACATCCTATAACCCCACATGTTCTCTCTCCTCATGCATCTGTCCCTGTGATCTGCAATGGGGAGCTTTGATACAGGCTATTCATTCAAGAGCTGGATTCAATGATTCTTGTGGGTCCCTTCCAGCTCAGAATATCTGTCATTCTGTGATTCTGTGGCGTTGGTGGGCCAAAGCTGAGTTAAGACAATGGCCCTTGGAGTCAGAGTGGAACCTCCCTCTGCCTCTATTATGCATCTTTAGATGTCAGAGGACTTTGACCTCACCAAGAAAGAACTGCATCTTTACCCCTCTTGCCAGAGGGGACTTGAATCAGCATAGTCTCTGTGTAAGTACCAGCCTTGGCAGTGCAGAGTTTCAAAAAACCATGTAGGATAAGGGCACCAGTTCCTAGCAGAAGAGCCTACTAACTACTGTTGGTGAAGTTATCACAGCTGGAAAAATCAGAAACAGGAGGTGGCATATTCACTCACTGTTTCCCTGTGTTGGCAAAACTCCACAGCACCATTTCTTTTTTGCAGAGGCATTTGGTGGCCTCTTTGACTATAGTTACACTTTGAGCTCCATTGCCCGGTTCTGAATTTCTCTGTTAGAGCAACACATGGTAAACAACGAAGCATACTTTTTCTCTCCAAACCCATGAAGAAACCCACTTCCTATTTTGAGGAACAAGCTCAGGCTTGGACAGGTGGCAGCTTTCCAGCTTCTGTGCTCTCACACACTGGAGTTCTTCTTCCAGACACGAGTACAGCACAGCCTGTGTGCTTGGTTTTCAGCAAGGAATGGTTTTCCTAGGTCTAATGGAAATGCATCAGAATGCTTAATCCCAGCTTTCATAGACACATACAGTCACTGTACACAAAATGCTGTGCTCTGGCTTGTGCCATGACTGTCCTAGTGATGTCATGCATAGGTGAGCATCTTGTGTAGAGGAACAGGAAGGGTGCAAATCCACCTGAAGCTGGCTTACAAAATGTATCATCTCTTTAATTACACCGTTTCCTGGTACAGTGTTTCATCACCACCGCCCCCGTCTGGAAGGCAGTGAGGAACTGGGAACTGCTATTTCCAGATACACAGAGCTGCAATTTGTTTAGCAGCAGTTTAGCATCCTGTAATCAAACTAATGCTCATGCCTTAGTGATGCTTGTAACATCTAAACAGTTACATTAGCATGAAACATTTAAATTCCCATCCCTGTCTGATGGAAGTCTGGAAAGTGATCTGGAATACCCTCCATGCTGTCCAAGAGTACAGTTTCCTTCAGCACTCAGCAACTCCGTCCACCTGACTGTAGAAGCTGAGTAAATACCAAATCCATCCCCTGCCAGACCTTTGACTGATGTCACATGGGCGTGTCTGAGCCCAGCATGGTAATGGGAGCTTTGAGTTGAATGTGGGAGATAATGGTATGTCAGCTCCTTCCAGAGGAGGCTGATGCCAGGCACCCTTGCAAGGACACTGATAGAACATTCAAAACTTCTCTTGTACTACCATTTATTCATTGCATCCCTACTAGGAGAAAAGCCTAGCTAAACAATGATTTGCATATGGCTGTTCTCACACAGTGACATTTTGGGAAGAGAAGTCCGTCTCTCCCCTGCTGCTCCTGTCTAATGTGATAGCTTTTATGGTCTCTAGCATGTAAGAAAAGTACTAGAACACTGGAAATAACAAGTAGAGTGTAGGGTCACACCTTTCTCTGAGGTTACCTGAGCCCTTTTTCAGTTACACATTAATGCCACAGCTAATCCTCTCTGCAGGATGAAGACTGGGAAGAGGAAGTTTGTGATGGCAGGGATAAGTACCTGGAAAGTAACAGTGGCTGGAGTTCTTTTGTGGAAAAGCGATAGCTGAAGTTGTGTTCAGTTTTCTGCAAACTTTATAATCTCGAGTATTCAACAGCAGCAATATCATCTCCTAACACCAGAGTAGCTTACATCCACATCATTGAAACCTGTTCTCAGGTTAGGCTAATCTTTTTGAAAAGCACCATGAGACACCTTTGCGAAAACCCTATGGAAACATCCTTAAATTTAGGTTCAAATTTCTTTCTTGTGGGCATGATCTCAGGACCTGATTTGAGAATAAAGTGGGTCTTGCTATTCCTACAAGAAACCAGAAGCAGACGGGAACTGTGAAACCAGTGCCTAAAACAAGGTTTAGGGGGACATTTCCAGATATGGCATTGGAAGAAAAATGTGGATAGTTAAAGTACCTCTTCTGTGTGTACCTTCCATTTTACATGTCCTGATACATTGAATAATGCAAATTTCTAGGCTTTTTTTTTAACAGTTGAGTGTATAGAGGAAAGCATGGAATAATGTATCTCTTGGCTAACTCATAACAAAGTTGTTCTTGTGAGATGTCCAGGAGTTATCAATGGAACTGTAAATACCAGTCTAAGAGGCTCTTAGTTGCAGAGAGGAGGTGGCAGCCTCTGTTTTGTTTATGCTAGTATAGAAGAATTGCTTGTGTTTTACCTCAGGTAAGTGCATGCATCAGGGCCGACATGTTCAACACAGTGACAGAAAAAGGTACTGGCCTCTACTTTTTCAGCCTCCAGCATCAGGTCCAGGGGATTGGGGATGAGGCAGCAAAATGGATGGGGTGCTCTGGGCCGAGTAACTGCAGACACTTGGGGCTTGAATTTTTATTACCAGCCTTAAAATCCTAATTTCAAGGAGAGTGAGCCTCTTCGCAACTCAGTTTGGGGGGATGCTGAATTTCTGTCCTTCTGGAGGTTTTTGTGCTTATGTGTGTTTTGGTCTCTGCTCTGCAGCTGTGGCTGACGTTTGCTCCTGTGGCTGATAAGACAGCTGCCTACTTCCACATTTCCCTGGAGACGGTCAACTGGCTCTCCATAGTGTACCTCCTCATCTCCATCCCGTTTGGTCTGGTGGCAACGTGGGTTCTCGACAGCGTGGGGCTCCGGTGTGCTGTGAGTTGAGGTGTTCTGTTTCCCTGAGGAAGTTTCACCTAGAGATAGCAGATGCACAAAGTGCTAAAATGCGTGCTTTAGATAAGGGAGCCTGGCCAAAAGCTGCAGAGGATGAGCACGTTGAAAGCTCTATCCTGTTTCAGTAACAGCTCTCACATCACCTCTGTGGTGGAGAGCAGTGGGAAAAGTCAGAATAATGTTGCACCTCTACTTTCCTTTAGTTTTTGTTATCTTAGCCAACTGACAGGGATAGATGCTGTGAGATGACTCTCTGAAGACGTAACTGTAATTGGGTGGGATTTGCTGTGGAGAAGTGTTAGGGTTAGCTGTTTTGTTTGCAGGACCAGTTTAAGGAGCAGCAGGGGAGGATGCAAGCAAGAGACCCCTGTCTGCTCAGAGCTTGGTCTCTGCTAAGCCAGCTTGGGATCTCCACACAGTCTTCCCAAAAATGTGTTGTGGAATGTGGCACTGAAACACTAGCATGCCAGTGGTATAGGAGAGCATTTGCAGGATCCATATGCTGGATGATTCATTGCCATGATCTTTGGATTGTCACGGCAAAATGTGGGTGATGGCACAAACTTGCCAGTAAGGTGTAATTAGTGAACTTTGGGTTTCTCATCAATTCCATGCCAGTGTCTGCTCTCTTACGTAAGCTACACTGTGGTGTAGTTCTCGCACAGGGCCAAGACAACCACATGGCTCCCTAAGGAGGCAGGTTGGATCAGGAGCATCTTGCAGTGGCCCAAAGGGGTGGGGATGGTCTGCAGGCAGGCATTAATAACACCCAGTTATTAATAACACCCAGTGTCTTCTGCAGAGCGTCTGAAACCCTGCTGATGCTAATCTATTTTATTAAGTTCTGCCCTTCAGCACATAAACCCTGTTTCTGCCTCCTGCAGGTGATCCTGAGTGCGTGGCTGAACATGATGGGCAGCATCATCCGAATGTTCAGTGTTCTGAAGTTCCTGAGCTTGGGTTCCCGGAGTTATTGGTACCTGTTTATTGGGCAATGCCTCTGTGCGCTGGCGCAGCCTCTTATCATCTTTTCACCAACAAAGCTGGCAGCACTATGGTTCCCAGACCACCAGAGAGCCACAGCAAATATGATTGCATCAATGTGTAAGTGACAGCTTTGAAGCAATATTGCTGCCTCCCAGAACTTGCTAGCACTTGTTTGCTTTTTGCAGGTAGCAGGCAGAGGAAATCCTCTGTACTGCAGCAGTTTGCCTTTGCAAATGCAGCTCCACCCAAGGGTCTTGTAGCCACGTGCAGCAAAACACTATAGCAAGAAGTGGGTCTAAAACACACCTGGGTGCTATGTTCAGAGCAAGCCACCCAGGCTGCTAACCTTCTTCCTCTCTGCCATGAAGAGGTTATCATCTTTGCCTAAATATCACAGAGGTTGGGGACAGCCCTTAATGTTACTAAGTATGAAGTCTTCAGTGCCCTTAATTTCGCAGCTCCTTAGGGAGGTGTCCAAACTGCCTGTGGTGCCGATGGTCACAGTTGCCAAATCCTGTAACTGGATAGAGGTGGGACTCCTGTGGCAGTTTTGTCCACCAGTTTGTCCAGTAGCAAGCCTGAGCTTGTGTTCCTAATTGGTATGTATGCATACACAGATTAAATACCCTCAGCTGGCCACACAAACACGTTGGGGATGCTAAATGCTGGGACTACCCACACAGAAACCACAGCTGCCTTGCTAAGTGCCTGGAAGGCGGGAAGCTGGAGGAGAGGCACCAGATAAGCTTGCTCTAATCTCATTCCTCTCTTGGCTTCTTTGGGCCCAGACAGAGACAGGATACTGCACTTGACAGACCTGTTTCCTCCCTTCATGTGACATTTTACCCAGCAGCCAAAGAAATCTCTTCCTTTCTTCTCCGAGGACCTGAAGAGTGCTTCAGAAACTGGGCTGGCTCTCTGGCTCCAGCTGGGAAATCTCACAGTACCTACATGTGTGTGGGAGCCCCGTCTGTCCTTCTGTCAAAACAGCCAACAGCTGCCTTCCCTCCTCGTTGCGTTGGAGTTGTGAAGAAGGGGTAGGCATGGGGAAAAGGGCAGCACAGGAGCACCCCTATAAAGCTTTCTGCAGGGCTAGAGCATGGGTGCTCTTGTTTAGCAAGAATGGATTTATGGCGTCAGAACAAATAAATTCTTTTTGCACTGCCTTTCCCAGAACAGGGTGGACCTGATGACTCACCTTGTTTCCCAGTGCTGAGGCAGACCTTCACCTTCCCTCAAGGTGCTCTTTTGTCAGTGTGGCATCATACAGTACCACCAAGGACCACTGGGCACTCAGTGCTTCATAGCCCTAAAGGACCCCAACTTGCCCTTTTTATGTAAGAGAGCAGACAGAGCAGCCAAAGAGCATTTCTTTTGCATAGCTCCTTAGTCTTTACAGGACCAAACTGATCAAACTGTTGTAAGAACAAAACTGAAGAGCAAGGAACAGTAGGATCCTAAAATCTAAGCTTTTCAGTCTCTGCCATGTTGGGATATCAGAGTGTGGATGGAATGGGCTGTGATTGTTGTCTGCAGCAGCACCTGAAGGTTACTGTACAGAGCGCTTCTATTTATAATGCTTAATTATACCCTTAATGTCTGCTGTACAAAATCAGGATTTCATTTCAAGAAAATTTAAATATTGTCTAGAAGGAGGATCTACCACAGCCCCAGTCATTTATTCCAGTGGTTCATTACATCACTGGCAAATGTCAGCATGTTACTTCTAATCTCGATGCTCCTTATCCACCAGCTATTCGGTCTTGTTGCACCTGTTTGTCAGGCAGTTATGGACAGAATCACCTCTTCTTTATTTTGTCTAGAAAGTCTGAATGGCTCCCACCCAGTTACTTTACAGCCACGTTTCCCTTTGCTTCTTCCCACTTGTCTTCCTATTGCTCACTTGAGCTTTATCTCTCAATCTTGCTCCAAATTATCAATACCCATTTCCTGTGTAATTGCCAGAGCAGCACTCACACCCCAGTATGGTTGGTATCAGTGCTGCACACAGAAACCGGCCCTACAGCCTCTTGCAATTAGTAAGTAGGCTTCCCCAGGCTTTTGTGACAAATATGGACCTTGCACCCAGGATCCTGCTGAGCAGCCGAAATCACTATGACTCAGCTGTCAGGGTGATTAATGACTCAGCTCTGGAGTGTTTATTGTATTCTGGTCCTACCCATCACTTGTAGAGACTTACTTCAGAGAAGCAGTGCCAGATCTTCCGTGAGCACCATGAGAAATTTTCCTTTGTCAGAAGTAGACAGACATGACTCAGTCCACTGAAATGACCCCTGCTTCGTCCATAGGATTCTTCATTTACTCTGGCCTGCACCCTGAGGAGTTTCAGTGCATCAGCATCACTGACTACAAAACACTTAGCCCCACTGCAGAGTACTGAAAGCTAATCCACCAGGACTCCTGGACCGTAATGTACAGCTGATTAACTGCAGTGTTCTCCCTTCCATTCATGGAATGTTTGGGCTCATAAAATTTCTCTTCCCAGGAAAAGAAGGCAGCTGAAACTGTGTAATTACTCAAGTAGTCTCAGTCCTTTCAAATTTAGCCCAATGCTCACATTTCCAACCTTTACCCATACCTTCTGGAACTGCTTCAGCATGTCTGTAGTTCATGAAAACAGCTGACGAGTTTGCAGGCTACAACCTGCAAATGTCCTCAACAATGCTTGGTTGCATTTTACCCCAACAGAGAAGATTTAATCCATCTCCTTGGAAACTGTTGTTTAATTGTGTCCTTGTACTTAAAAGCAGGTATCATTTCACCAGCATCATAAGCTGGTACTTTCTCAAGTACAGAGCAGAAATACTACAGCTGCTGTGTGCTGTAGAACTATTAATGATGCCTCAGCAGAACTGTAGAATAGACAAGATTGAAAGGCACCTCTTGGAATCATCTTGTCCAATCATCCCTGCTCAATCAGGCCTGGCTAGACCAGGTTGCCCAGGTTTATGTCTATTAAGGGTTTTGCCTGTCTGCAAGGATGAAGGTACTGCAGCTTATCTGAGCATCTTGTTTCAGTGCTCAACTCTCACCTAAAAAATCCAATGCGCAGGCTGGAAGGTGGAAAGACCTTCCCCGGTTCTTCATTCGCGAAGAGACTGGCCATTCACTATCATAGTAAAGGAGTTTATATTCGGGTAGACTTTCCTGTGTTATGCTTTGTATGAGAAATGTCTGGTTCCATCTTTGTAATTGCTCATCAAGGTTATTTTCTGCAGGCTAAACAGTCCCAGCTGTCTCAGTGTCCTTAGGTATGAGAGATGTTCCACTCCCTTAATCGTGTCTTTGGCCCTTGACTGAACTTGCTCCATTAGTTGGTATCTTCTGTCGAGGAACGCAGCACTGGACTCAGCCCTCTCTATGTTTCTCACCAGGTCTTACCAGAGGGTGAAGATCTTTCACCTGCTGGCAATGCTCTTCCTAATGCAGCCCAGCATGCTGTTGGACACCTTTCTGGAAAGGTGCATCACTGGCTTGTGGTCAACTTGCAATCCACCTGGACCCTGTGTCCTTCTCTGCAAAACTGTTTTCCAGTACCTTCCCCAGACTGATCAGTCCTAGCTCTCTTAATATCTCCTCACATGACAGAAGCTCCAGTCCCTTAATCATATTTTCTGTTTTCTGGACCAGTAAGTTCCTGTCTCCCTCACACTGGGGGGCCCAGAACTGGAGACACTACTCCAGATGGGGACTCACTTGTGCTAAGAAGAGGGGAGGGAGCAACTCCTGCTGACAACACTCTGCCTAGTGCAGACCCCAGGCTGCTGGTGGCCTTCTTTATCAGGAGGCTGTGTTGCTGCCTCATGGTCAAGTTGGTGTCCTCCCATCCCTCTGGTCCTTCCCTGCAGAGCTGCTTTCCTGTTGGTGATCCTCAAGGGGCACTGGTGGATGGGGTCATTTTTCTTCCCTGCGTGCAGCACATTACATTTCCTTTCACTGAACTTAACAAGGTTCCCCTTTAGCTCTTTCTTCAGTCTGTTGCAGTGCCTCTGAATGGCAGCATGGCCGCTTCTTCTATCATCCACTCCTCCCAGGTTCACATCACCTGCAGACTGTCTGTGGGTGCACTCTGTCCTGTCATCCAGGGCAAACTGTACTGGCCTCAGTATCAACCCCTGGGGTGCCTCACTAGTGACTGGCCTCCAGCTGGTGTTCCTGTCAGTGAAGACAATCCTCTGGGCCTGGCTATTCAGTTGGCTTTCAGCTCATCTCACTGTCCACTAGTTTAGCCAGTACTTTATCAGTTTGTTTGCAAGATTGTTATGGGGGCAGTGTCAACTGCCCTTTCCTCATCTATCCATCCTGTCATTTCACTGTATAAAAGCTACTAGATTAGTTAGACATTTTTGCTTTTCACCTTGTTGTCCTTCATGTACCTGGAAATGGTGGAGAGCATTAGTTGTTCCATGACCTTCCCAGGGATCCAAGTGAAACTGAAAGGCTGGAGTTCCCTGGATTCTCCTTCTTGTCCTTTTTGAAGATGAGAGTGATATATGCTCTCTTCCAGTATTCAGGAGCCTCTTGCAATTGCCTTTTAAAGGTAACCAAGGCCTTGCAATGAAAACAATCTGCTCCTTCAGTACTGATGCATCCCATCAGTCTCACGGACTTGTGTATGTCTGGGCTATACAATGTTCTCTAGCCTAGTCCTCCTCCTTTGAGGATAAATCTTCATTGCTCCAGACTTTACATCTGGTCTCAAGGCTGAAGGCCAATCTTACCAACAACAAATGAAGTGAAGAAAGCATTGAATACCTTCGCATTTTCCGTGTCCTTTGTCACCAAGTCTCCCTCCCCATCCAGCAACAGCCCCACGTTTTCCCTAACTTTCCTTGTGCTTGTGGATGCCATTCACGTCACCCTTCACCAGACTCAGTTCCAAGCTGGCTTTGGCTTTCCTAACCCCATGGCACACTAGTAGAAAATCAACTTTACTTTGACTATTTGCAGAATGTTGCCCTGAAGTTCAAAAATTGTGTCCTGCAATTTTGGGTGTTTCCAAGCGAAGTCCCAGGAGTCCTGCTTCACACTCTGCTCAGATCCAGCCTCATAACAACACAACACCCTCTTGCAGTGCAGTGTCCAAGATTCTCTGCTGCCATGCGATTTTTGTAGTTGATAGCAAAGATGAACTTGTTAAGCCTGCTTGGGCTTTGCTAAGGAAGTATAAAGGCTTGAGAGGTTTCAGGAATGACCTTGTGTCACTTTAGAGAGCTCTCATTTGCTTATCTGCTGTTCATGCCCTTTTGACAAAGGAAACCAATGGCATCCTGCTGACCTTTAAAAAGAGCATTGCCAGCAGGTTGAGGAGGTCTCCTGTCCACATCTGATTCCTTCAATCAAAAGGAATATTAGGATAGGAATTAAGAATATTAGAAGGACATGGACATATTAGTGTAAGTGCAGTTAAGAGCCACTAAGACAGTCAAGGGAATGGAGCGTCCGTGATGCCAGTGGAGGCTGAGCAAGCTGTGACTGTTCACCCTCCAAAAGCCTCAGGGGGTTCTTACTCACAATGGTGTATTCCCCCTAATGGCATGGGGAGACAAAGAATGGAAAACATCTCTGTTTGTAACTCCTGCAATATAACACCAGAACAGATGACTTGGATTCGTCCACCTTAATTTTGTCCTTTCAGCTTGACAGTTACTGAGGCAGGCTTGTGAGGGCGTGTACATTGTAATTCACAGATGAAAAACAGTCTAGAGGGGTTAGGAGTTGTAGAGAAATGGTTTTATAGGATGGACTTCATGGGTGTGAGAGAACAGATGTGGCAACACTAAGACCAAGCAGTCAGCTTCTCCAAATGTTCCCCTAATGGTTTGTCCCTGTATATGCCTTGTTCTGTCCTTATTACTCTGCTGCACACTGCAGCTCTGTTGCTGGCAGGCAGTAGGGGTAGACACATAATTCTGACTGCCTGCATGAAAAAAAAAAGTCTCTCTTTTATTTCCTTCCAGCCAATCCCTTGGGCATTCTTATAGCAAACCTGTTGTCCCCTGCACTAGTTCCTGAAGGAAAGCACATTCCATTGATGGTAAATGAAATCTACTTTTATCAGTTTTCACTGGGCTAATTTTGAGTCCAGCTGATTTATTTGTCTGGGGGCAGCGGAGCTCGAAAGACTGATAACTTGGCTTGTCCTTATGTTGTGTAGTTGGGTGTTTATGCTGTCCCAGCAGTAATAGCCTGTGCTCTAGCAACGCTGGGGATTCACGAGAAGGTTCCTCCAACGCCTCCTTCAGCCAGTGCCACCAACTCCAACTCTCAGCCGTTCTTCACAGGGCTCAAAATGGTAAGTGCTACAGCACCAAGAGTGCCGCGCTGGAGTGAGGGGTGCAACCCTGCCAGACAGGAGCATGCTGAGGAATTTCCTTACAAAGCAGGCTCAGAACGCCACTCCCCCAAACCTGCCATGGAAAACCCCCTGAAGGAGATCGGGATCCCTTCCTTCCTCAGGCAGTGGAAGCTGATCACAGCAAAGCTGCAAGAGATGCTATCTGAGCATTCAGCTGTGGGCTGGCTGCCATGCAGATACCTCAGACAGGCACAGCTGGGCTCACCTAAGAGGACCACACACAACTTGAGCCCTCTGAACAGATGTGGTAACAGGTAGGACAGCACATGGCAACATGAAGGAAGAATTTGGGCACTGAAGAGATCTTAGCTCCCTACATGGTCCCCATTTTAACTTGTCCTCTGGCTGAACTGACAGGACAGAGCCATACTTTGTCAATAATCACAGGGTTGCCCTGTCACCATTTTCACCTGCTGACCCTCAAGTCTACTGTCACAGCCAGGCCCTTCTCTCCCCTCCACTTATTTACATTAACTTCTTTTTTAGCTCCTGAGAAACAAACCATACATCATCCTGGCAGTGTGCTTCGGAGGAGGAATTGGGATGTTTACCTGCTTTTCAGCCCTGCTAGAACAGATCCTTTGTGAAAAGGGGTATTCGAATGTGAGTCTTCTTCCTTTCCTGCCCATTGTCCGAATCATCTATGGTACAATCAAATTGATTTTCCCTGATAAGGAATTCAGAGCAAAATGAAGACAATTGAATATGCTGCCATCTCATGTCTTATTTGTTCATATTATCTGATATAGGTTAAGCAGTACATTAATCCAGAGCACAGCCAATCTCTTAGTATAATGGATGACCTGCATTTTCGTCACTGCCCATGACCAGGCTCCCATTCACAAATCAAATTTTTTTTTAGAGAAAAACAATACTGTGATTTTCCTAAGCCACTCCAGAGCACTGATGTCTATGCAGCCTTCTGTCACCTATCCCAGAGTAGGATGGGGCCCAGGCAGTGAAGCTGAAGGCAAGCAGCTTTTCCTCTTTGCACAGAATTACATGAAGCCAGGGCAGCAGAGGAAGTCACAGACACTGTGACAGCTGTTTCTCCATCCTTGCTATGACACTGCCCAGGTGCCGCTTTTACAGTTCAGCACAGTCTGTGCACAGCTGTCTCCTCCTGCTCTCTCCCTGTAATAGCAGGAGGATGTCCCAGTTCATGTGTTTCTCCTCAGCAGACTGCACTTCAGTCCTGCTGCTTGTATTGACATGGAGGTCCTCTTAGAACACCTCTTCAGCTGTCATTTATGCACACTTACATGTCTGGTCTCAGTCCATCCTCTCTTCAGCTCCCAGGTCTAATATTTGGCTTAGGGCTCCATAGCCAGGTCCTGTTTGCAAACACCAATGGCTTTTAACTGGAAACCTTTTCAACTTTCCAGTCTTGCTTTCCGTGCATCATGATGGTTTTGTCTGTGTGACTCATCTGGCTTTTCCCGGCCCTTTAGCCCACGGAAGCCATTCCATATACCCTTTCCTTCCAGTCCACTCCAGAGGCTCCCAAAAATGTTTACCCAGATTTGTTAAAAGCTGCTCTGCTTTCAGGATTGCTGTCTGCATTTGGATTCTTATGGAGCTGAAGAAGTAGTACAAGCAAAGGGCAATCAGTGCAGGCAACAGAGCACGTATCCCATCCTAGGTGCTGCTCACTGCCTCTCTAATTTGACACAGCCAGGAGATGTGTCCCATCTAACACGTGGTGGGTGTGCCAGTTCAGGTCCCTGGTAAGAAAAGGGCCAGGAGGATGATTATAAACAACAGCAGGTCCCAAGTTGGACCTGTTAGCAGCAGTGTGGACAAAGCACCTGACTGCCCCTGAAAGAGCCCAGTGGCTCCAGGCTGGAATTTTTAGTGCTGGGGAACTGCTGTTGCTCTGCATCCAGCCTCCCTTGACAAGTGTGCAGAAAGCTGGTCATCCTTTGGGAGTGCTGTCACCCTGCTGTCCCCAAACACTTGCAGAAGCACCTAGCCCCTGTTATTTGCTACTCAGCACCCTGTGAATGCCTCAGCTACTGCAGTGGGCAAGGATGCTTTTCCTCCCTCAGTAAGTGAGGTAGGAAAATGATGGGTCAGTGACATTAAAACCTCTTTCCTAACTGCTCCAGTTTCTCATTACTTAATCTTCTGCCCTCCAGGATTTTGCTGGCCTGAATGGTGCCCTGTTCACAGTGTGTGGTTTGTTGGGTGCTTTCCTACTAGGCATGTATGTTGACCGGACAAGGAAGTTCATCGAGTCCACCAAGATTTGTTTCTGTCTGAGCGCGCTTGCCAGCATTGTGTTTGCAGTGGTGAGTTCTCTCTTGCATTGCACCATACCCGTGGGCTTGTTTCTGTTGCCATCTGATAAATCATCAGCTTAAACCAAGGTCATCTGATGTCATAGTATTTATTAAACCATGTGTTACGCTTTGGGATTATCTCTCTGGGCTACGAATGTTTTAAAGAAAAACCCTTTACTGAGAATTTCACAGTCACTGTGAAGCCTGAAACAGACTGATTCAGGATATAAATAAACTGGCATAGTTTTACTTCCCTACGCTGGACCACCATGTTTACTTACTGATGCCCAAGACCGTTTGTTCCAAAAGGAAATGGAACTGCTAAATATCCATCTTACAAAAATGAACAAGAATGCCCTGTTTTTCCAACACCTGCCTTTAACAGGGGTGGCTGTCAGGAGTGCAACATTAGCAGAAAGGACCTAGTTACGTGCCTAGTTCTTCAGTAGTTCCTTGATGAGGACAAGACAAGAGAGGCAAAAAAGTAGAACATTTGAATTCAGCCAGCAGAGGAATGCAGCACCTGGAGACTTTACGACCATAGGTCCAGAGGGCAAGTACTGCACTCAAGCATAGCCATTGCCAGTGGGAGCCATCACACAGCAGGAATCTGATCATGACACATGGGACTCCCAGCACTGCAGAGGACCCAGAAAATGGTGCAGCTTTCTGCTTTCCCAGCAGGCTTATGCTGTACATTTCTCTTGTGTGTTGAAAAAATCAAGACTTCCAGTAAATCGTGATCCCACCTCCCCCTGCGCCAGGATTCCAGTGATGGTAGCTCCATTTGGAAGAGGCGGACAAATGCAATGCCTTTATCAATGTAGGCCAAGGTGCCTAAAACAAGCCTTGCATTTCCCCCTTTAGTGCTGTAGCATTTTTTTTGAGGATGATCTGTATACAAGTCAGATCACCTGGACTTAAATGAAGCACTGAGTAGGAAGGAGGCAGCGTTAGGAGAAACAAGCAAACCTTTCCCTCCTCCCCTCCCTTTTTTCACCTTCATCCTATACAGATGAACTATTATTTCAAAGTGTTAGAACAAAAATAACCCATTCAAATCTGCTTGATGCCTTCACACTTCAAACTCAGATTTCAAACAGAGTTTCTCTTGACTTTACCTGTTAAGCTGGGCCAGGCCTGCAGCTGTGCCAGAACAGACACCTCGTGTTCCTCTGTGGGAATTTATTACATAAAAGGTACCAGCAGTGTGGATGCAAAGTACCTCGTCTTTACCAGCATTGGTTGGACAAGGTCATGCTCTTTCCTCCAGAGTTAGGGACAAGGCTGTTCTAGGCACTAAAATAATCTCCAAGTTTTGTAAATGTTTTGTGGGTTTTTGTTTGCTTTTTCATTTGTGGGTATTTCTGTTTATGTTAAAAGCCCAGTTTTACAAACATGAGTCTGACTAATTTTCCTTATCACTGAGCTGCAGCAACCCAGTGAATTCTCAGGTGTAACCCAATGCAAACAGCACTTCCAAAATGTTACTTTTCACAGTGAGGAAGGTGTGTGTTTCACTTGTGGCTAGAGGTATGCTGAACACATTCCTGGTAAGTTACTATCCGGGATGTCAAGTTAAAGTAGTACAACCACACCAAGGCCTTTAAGGTAATTCTGCTGAATCCTCTCCCCTTGCTTCAGTTCAACAAGTGACTCTCCATTGTGCAGCCATTAGTTGACTCTAGAGACCTCGAGGTAAAAACACTGATTTCAGGAACAGATAGGGAATGTACTGGTGAGAACAGTGAGCTCTTGGAGCTTCCTGCAGGTTATGGGTTCAGAGACTTTCTGTGCAGCAGTGCTGACACTGAGACTTTGGTATTGTGTTTTTTGCCTGCAGGCTTCTCGGTTCAGACACCAGGCCGTCATGTTGGCCATCAGCAGCTCCCTCTTCGGGTTCTTCGGTTTTGCCATCTACCCCATTGCCATGGAGCTGGCTGTGGAGTGCTCCTACCCCGTGGGAGAGGGCACGTCTACAGGCCTGATTTTTGTTGCAAGGTAAGCAGGCAGCTTAAATCCAACTGACAGCTGGGTTCAAACACACACACACACACACACAGGGGTGTAGGTGCAGATAGAGAAGAGAGCATGGACATCAGTCCTTGCCACCCCACTGAACTTGTCTGTGATGTCTGTGCACATGGCCATGGCAAGAGGGGAGCTGGCTGGCTGAGCCACAGAGCTGAAGAGCTAAATGTTTTAAAGTGAGGAGGACTAGGTGGAAGGGGTGCAAGAAAAGCAAGAAGGAAGATGAAGGTCTCCCTTGCTTGGCATGAAGCGTGATTTAACCATGTCCAGCATCACCTACCTTTGAAGCACATGAGAGAGAGGCACCCATTCCCACCACAGTACAGGCACTTGTCAGGTCTCAGTGCTCTGCAGAGGGAGATGGGGCTCATCAGTCCCAGGGCACCTGGTCACAACAGATGGGACAGTGTCTGTCCTTCCTGTTACCAATTTACCTGCCTAGGGCTGGCTCTGGAATTCAGCAGGAATGACTTGCTGGAGCTCTAAGCAGTGATGCAAGTAACCTGGTGCCACCTATTTGTGTCAGGTGGAGCTCCAGCAGCAAGAAACATCAGTGAGTGAGGGGCATGACACTGCCTTTGAAGGCTATTGTCTCTCACTGGTTGTGGACTTTGTTGCTGCTGCCAGCCAGCTATGAATAAGGAGGAGGCTGAAGTCATAGTCTAACTTTTTCCCATCCTCAGTCCTGGAGTGAGAGGTGTTTCCAAGTCTCTGCCTAGTTATAAGCCTCAGCTCTCTGAGGGATGCAGTCCAACACTTGCTTGCCTTCAGAGGGAGTATAGAATGATTCTGCCACACTGACCCTGTGTCTGGAGATGTGCAGAAAGGCTGACCTGGACACTCTGTGAGCCAGGACCAGTTAACCAAGTGCCTGGGCCAGTGGAATCCAGCAGTAGCTTTCTCTGCTAGAAGGGCCCTGCTCCAGAAAGAGGCCTCACTCTCTTCTAACTCAGGAAGCTGGGTTTGTCTACAGCACTGATGAGTCAGGCAGGTGCCATAACTACATGTTGGCTTCTCCCCACAGCCAGGTTGAAGGTGTGGTTTTAATGATTCTGCTACAAGCCCTCACTGTCCGTGTTTCTGAGGATCCATCCTCCACCTGTGCCCTTGACCAGGATGGAGCCCTGGACTGGACAAGTGAGTATGTCCTTGGGAAATGATGCTGGACACTCAGTTGCATCCTGTGTACCTCCCTCCAGGTCTCACTGTGAGGGACCCTGCAATGCTGATTCCTACTGTAGCATATTTCCTACCCACCTTTCCAAACATGATGGTGCACTCCTTGCTACCAAGGAGTTCCTGCTAAACCAAGCCTGCAAGATTGAAATCAGAAAACTCTTAAAGTGCCACGAATGCCCATGCTGGCTCTGGGTTAAAATTACTCTTCCAGTCACCCTGCAGAGTCCTGAGCTTCACCAAGCCAGAAAGCAGCTGTTCTGAGAGGAAGACACGGTCCATGTAGCAGAACCTGTGCTGCTTTGCAGTGTGGGAGGCCAAGAATACAACTGCAGTGACTGAAAGTAACCTCCCATGCTTCTGCACAAACATCTGCCTGTGTTTGGAACATACTGGTACAGCTTTGTTTTGCCTTACTCCGGATTTCCCTTCCTTTCCTAGCTGGTCAGAAAAAGAGACAGCAACTGAGATGAGAGCACAAATGTGTTTTCATTGCAGGCTAAATGCTGGTCTTGATCTCTCAGCTGGTTCATATTTATGTAATACTGACACCAAGTCCTGGGGACACTGTAAACAAAGGCTGGTCATCATCGTTTAAATATATCCTGCTTGGCTGAGCGGAAACTCCCCAGAACAAGATCCACTAGGTGTCAGAGATCAAGGCTTCATAACAGGCACCCATTCCAACTCATTTTCTGATCTGATACATGCAGGAACAACTGGGGAGAAAGACATGGAGTTGTGTGAGACACTGCTGGAATGAGAAGCCTTGTTCCATAGTGTTTCAGATATACTTTTTTTTTTTTCTTCAGAAAAGGTTCTTTCGACACAAATTTTTCTTAGATAAAAGTTTATGTTTAGTGAACTTTTTCTACACTTGCTTTCAGATGATATAACAAGTAGCACTACCTTTGAGGATCTGTTCTCTTATGAAACTCAAGTGTTTTGATTCAGTCTTGTTTGTAAGTTTTTTCACCACCCGCCAACACAAAAACATGTACATTTACACAGAAACACACACTCTCACAAACACACCGTGTGCACTGGTGTAAGGACTCTAGCCTGTGGGATCACACAGGATTTGGAATCCTAGAAACCTTCCTCATTCCTCCTAAATTCTCCTCCTATGCCAGTGTTAGGCGAAGCAAGGTTTGCCTGTTACCAGATTGGTGCTGCCCCCTGTGCTCTGCACCCTGTGCTCAGGGGTAGCCCTTGGGAGGTGCTCATCCAGACTGTGCAGTTCCTGGGAGCTGACCTCTAGGCTTCTGCACTCACAGGTATCTGTGAATTCACTACCTAAAAGTGTACCTTTCTTGCAGCTCCGGTGCTGGTGCTGGCTGGCCTCTGCAGTGCCATGGCTTGCTTCTACGTCGTCTTCTTCCACACGGACTACAAGCGGCTCCATGCTGAGACAGTCGGTGGTGATTTGGTCAAGGCAGAAGATACAGCAACAGCAGATGTTCCTGAATGCTAAGCAGGCCACAAAGGGGATGCCAAGGACCAAAGACTCGGACCTCTGGGCATGGACCAATGCTCATCTGGCACACTGGGATATTTGGGTCCTGTTGCACAACAAGCAAGACTAGAGCAAAGGGCACTTTTGCTGTGCACCCCTCAATCTTGCATTTATTTGGGGATCTGGGCTGAAAGAAAGGCTGTCCTGACAGAAAGGTGAAAGTGGGACTGGACAACTATGCAACTGAAATTTTTATCTGACTTGGTTCAAGCTAAAGAAATGTTGTAGAGGAGGGGAGTGTCATATTTCAGCCATTTTTTTTGTTTTGTTTTCATGTACTTGGATCAAGGGTGAAGGTTTCAGAGGGATGGGAGCTGTGTCTACCACAAACCCAGTGGTAGTGTTTAAGGACTGTGGTTCTTGTGCAGCGTAACAACTCTTCTACTCTTAGGTTGGATCTGACTGTGTCTCTTAGCTAAAAGACAGTAGGAGGTAGAGCATCCTTTCGTTTCAGCAGGGAAGTATGTGATCTGTAATACAAGTCTGTTACAAAGGTGACCTCTTAGAGAGCGCAGGGACTTGTTATAAGTTTCTGCAGGTATTAGGGGCTCTGAAGGGAAGACCAAGTGAGAAACAACATCAACAAACACCTTCCAGTTCTCTGTGCAACTGACAGGTGTTTGCCAGTGTTATAAGAGGTGGGGAGTGACACAAAAGATCCCATTTGGAGTTCAGTTACACTAGTGATTCCAGGGGGTACAACTGGATTTTTCACTTTACAGTTCTTCCACAGCAGTCTGGTGTCCTGTTTCGGTGTTCAGGTCTACGTGTACAACCTTATAACATTCAAGTAGTAAAAAAAAAAAAAAATTAGCTGGGATTTCATAGTGCTTCATACCATGCATATTGCAAGGGAATCTCAGTACTTGCTGATTAAGGGATCTTGATGCAAATTGGATCTGTGACTAGCTTTGTTCAGTCCAGCTAAAGGATGATCCCAATGCCAAAGATGCACTTTCCCTGAGAAGCACTGTACAAAGGAGATCTCTCAGTGCCTGAATTCTCTTCCCCATTAGAAACTGGAAAGCTCTTCCTTTGTAAAACACCCATCTGCAATCTGCATCCTCCTAGGGAGCCTGCTCGTTCCTACAGCTCCAGCCTTGGTCTCACCAGTAAGCACCGATGTTTTTCAAAAGGAGAAGGAAGAAATTCTGAAACCAAAGTGAAACAAAATTGTTTAAGCCCCTGAGAGGAATGAGATTAACTGTCTTTTGCAAAACTAGCTGCAGTCCTGCAACTAACACACCAAACAGATTAACACCATATTTAGCTGCCACTTTGGAGTTCTACTGTACTGGGAAGCAAGAAGCACTTGGTACTTTATAATTTTATATATTTACAAATGTTTATGTTTTTTAATAAAGGGTGGTTTGAGAAAATATTAACCTTTTCTCACTATATCTATCCCTAAAAAGCATATTATGGATGCAAGGGTGCATCAGATCTGCTGTGCAGCACGAAACAAAGGCCAGATGTGCAATAATTTGCACTCAAACTGATGATGTGTGAAGATCTTCAAAATGACAGTGTGAAATTTTGAATAATTTTGAATAATAATTTTGAATAATAAGTTAAAGGAGTAAGGAAATACTGCTAGCAAATATCTCTAAAATCTGTTTCCCTGGTCAGAGAGTCTCTGCACCAGCTAAGACACTTACCTTTATCGAAGCGTATGAAAGAGATTTGAAAGGGGAGATTTTTCTCTCTGCTAATCAGACATCAGACACTCATGTGTGTGAGGCTATTTCTGAATTCCTGATGTGCAGTGGAGCAGGTTGCTCCTTCACTATATGGTGTGTCATGCCCTGACAGCATGCCATAAAGGCATTATGGCACTGCTAACAGTGAGGCCAGGTAGCTCGTGCAGGTACCTACCTTGCACCATCAGCTGTTCCTGCTGGCTCAGCTAACTTCACATTTTGTGTTTAGAACAAAAGAGGCTGTGCTAGTCTGTAATTACCACCATAGCTGAAGTCGACTTTCTGCTGTACAGTCCTCTCTTCAAAGCTGCACAACTCATCGGTCTCTCACAGCTCAGTTTTAGATGTATCCTCTCCTGGAAAGCCTATGGAAAACGTGAACCTGAAATCTTAGGAGAGCAGAGGGGGTTGGACCTGTGTCCTCTCCCTGCCAAAGCAGTGGTCTGTCTGCCTTAAGCCTTCTGTGACCCCAGTAACCCCAGCAGAGGCCTCTAGAACCTGTAGGGGTCACTGGAAAACCGCAGACAGACTGCTGCAAAGGTGAGCCGTCCTGGCTGCGGTCTGATCTCACTAGAGCCTTTCTGTTTTCTGTAAAGTCAAAGGAGAGGGACGTAAAGGTCAGGCAACTGGACCCATCACAGCAGGGGATCAAAGAGAAGCCCTCTGAAACAGGCAGGGATATACAGTCTTGCTGGGGCTGAAGGGTCTGCACCATCTTCCCTGCTGCCTCCACCTAGACAGAACTGCTGCAGGGAGAGGTAGCAAACCTGCTTGAAAAAGTGTGTGTCCACATGATGCTCCGCCTGCAGCAGGTGGCTGAGCTGCAGGAGGCAGTGAGAAGATTGCATAACATCAGGGAGATTGAGAAGGGGTTGGATAGCTGTTTCCAGCTGCAGCCTGCAGTGGCGCCATAGCTGAAGTCAAACATCCAAAAACGGGGTTACAGCATTGTTTGATGAGGGAACAGTGACTGAAAAATCTACCTGGATTTGTGCAAAGCATTTGGCGCTGTCCCAGGTGCCAACATTGTATCTAAACTAGAGAGACACAGATCAATCTGATGGATGGACCACTCGGGGTATAAAGAATTGGCTGGATGGTCACAAAGAGCTGCAGTCAATTGCTTGGTGTTCACATGGAGACCATGACGAGTGGTGTCTTTCAGGGGTCAGTGTTGGGACTGGTGCTGTTCAACATCTCTGTCCGTGACTCAGACAGTGGCGTCAAGGGCACCCTCAGCAAGTTCACTGACACACCAAGCTGTGTGGTGCAGTCAACACACTGGAAGGAAGGGATTCCATCCAGAGGGAACTTGACAAGCTTGAGAAGTAGGCCAATACAGACCTCAACGAGGCCAAGTGCAAGGTCCTACACCTGGGTCCCAGCAATCCCAGGCAAACCTACAGGTTGGGTGGAGAAGTGATGGAGGGCAGCCCTGTGGAGAAGGACTTGGGGGTGATGGTTGATGTAGAACTCACCATGAGCCAGGAATGTGCACTGGCAGCCCAGAAAGTCAGTGGAATCCTGGGCTGCATCAAAAGGAGCACCAAAATAATGACATGGACCTGTTGGAGGAAGGCAGAGAAAGGCCATCAGAGGGATGGAGTTCCTCTCCTATGAGGAAAGACAGAGAGCTGGGGTTGTTCAGCGTGGAGAAGAGAAGACTCCAGAGAGACCTTAGAGCACCATCCAGTACCTCAGTGGAGCCTACAAGAGAGCTGGAGAGGGACTTTTTACAAGGGTGTGTAGAAACAGGGCAAGAGGGAATGGCTTTAAACTGAAAGAGACCAGGTTTAGATTAGATATTAGGTAGAAATTCCTTACTGTGAGGGTGGTGAGGCACTGGAATAGGTTGCATAGAGAAGCTGTGGGTGCCCTGGAAGTATTCAAAGGCAAGTTGGATGGGGCTCTGAGTAACCTGGACTCTTTGAAGGTACCCCTGACCATAGCAGGGGGGTATGGGCAGGGGGGGTGGAATTAGATGATCTTTAAGGTCTTTTCTAACCCAAACCATTCAATAATTCTTGCCATCCCACACACAGCTGGTGCCCAGACAATATTTCCAGTGGAAGAAAGGTTTTTCCTCTTGCGCAGCAGCTAGTCTTGAGGCCCCTGGAGGAGCACAGCCCAAGGGCTTTCTGCAGGACACTTACAAAACTTGACCCTAGAACAACTCTGCTTGATGACATAGGGTTACAGGCTTCCTGCTTCCCCTTAGAACAGCCAGCTCACTCTGCTCTCTTTCTGTAGCCTCCCCCAGAGACTGCGTGGGGCTGGCAGAGAAAGGTCAAGTTCACATGAGCCTGGAGGTGAGGTAAGCTGCTGCGTAGAGACCAAGCAGCTCCTGTCCACCCTGTCTGCTACTGGGCAGGCTCGGCTGTTGGTGCTAAGAAGGCAAGTTGTCAGTGCCCAGTACCTCTGATGACATGCCAGCAAATTCCACATTACTTCCACAGGTATTTACATACCAACACAGAAAGGTCTGCCTCTACAGGATTGGATCACTCTGATTAGAGTTAGGGTGGAGGATGTCTACACTGTAAACTTCCCCAAAACTAAACAAAGTAATATTGGTGCTCTCTTTTTAAGTAAATAGGAGCAACTAGTGCTTTAAAACTCCCCAAGGAATTCTTATCGCATGTTTAAAACAAGTGGTCCTTCTCATAGCTGCAGCGTTTTCACATGTGTGCCTGCTTTGCAGGCAGTTCCTTTAATAATTTTGGCTTGAGTCAGATGGTGGATTAAGATGGAAGAAAATACATCCTGGAACCACATGTGCTGCAGAACCAGAACCAAACTAGCTTTCTTGTGAGGTTTTATGGAAAAGAACCCCAGAAGGACAATAGGAAAAATATTAACTAGCTGAAATATCTATTGTAGTACTTTCTGCACAGATGTGTTTCTCTCATGTACACCCTCTGTGATGCTACTTCAGGAACTCTGGGCTTTATTAACATATGATGGATAGTACTGGCACTATTTAGTTTGCTACATTGTGCTCTTTTAATAGAATAGAGTGATTTAATCAAGTGTATCACCCTGGAAAGAGAGGCAATAACACAGCATTCCTGGAGGAAGAGACTAGAATCTTGGCTCTGCTTCCTCCTCTCCATTCTGCCTTATCTCTTTGTTTAAAAAGTGACTCTCTCTACTTTCTGCTCCCCCCCAAAAAGCACCTCTCCCTGATCCCTGCCTGAAGGCTACTCTTTTGAGCTAAAATTTCCCTTGGTCTCTTTGCTGTGCTTCCTTGTAAGGAGAAATCTAGGCAGATCCACTTTCTATCAACAAAGTTCCACTTTGCTACTACCACCTATCACCACCACTAATGCTCCCCACTTTTCAAGATATATTCTCTTTCTTCGTCTTTTTCTTCTTTCTTCTTATATTTCTTACTGTATCCAGGCTGCATGAATCACTGTCAAGGAACAATTGCTTTGGCACTGGCAAAGGCATGGTTACAGACCCGTTGCTGGGGATGGCCCTGCTGTGAGAAGGAGGCTGGGCTGAAAATGCCCTGTCAGCAGCACATCTGTGAGTCCACACTCTGCTGAAGAAGATAAATGAGTGGTTGACTCACTGTGAGTCTGCTCTCCAAATCCCCTCTAGTAACTCAAGCACCACGGGACCCAAACTTCTAGGATCTCTCTTTGCAGCTTCCAAATGATGCCATGAGGTTCCAGCAGCTGACATACCACGTGGTCTGTGAAGGATATCTGGTTGCACCTGCCCCAACATGAGGTATGAAACTTTCTAGAATAACTTTAGGTGGGTCGGGGCTGAGTTTTGGGTCTAGTA